CCCCCCCATTTATTTATTTAAAAGGCTTGTAAGGCCACCCATCTTAAGAAGCACAACTCTGGGTGGTTCACAATGGCAATAAAAATCAAAACCAATAAAAGCAAAAGCGAAAACTTGGCACCCGAGCTTTCTCCTCCAGTGTAGCCAGCTTGTATCCCACAAATGCCCATGGGCTGAGCTATAAACTTATCCAATTGACTAGACTGTGCAACAAACTGAGTCACAAACTAACAAACCATGTTTTAGTGTAGCATGTTGTGCAATGCCAGTCTTGGCAGTTAGCTTATGGATCAGTTTAATTGGGTTAATTCAGCAAGCCATGGGTAAGTATGTGATTCTAATGCAGTACAGGTTTGTTCAGTATGTGTCCTGACCACAGTAATTTCAGTTTTGACCCACTCAACTATGCCTCAACTAATACATCTTAACTATGCTTCAGTGTGATAGAATTCATGGAATTGGTTTTTAGACCCAAAGATACTGTTTCATTTGCAGACTTACTTGTCTATATGTCTCACCCTGGAAACTAAGAAGAAATAAATAGTTTGATAATGCATATCTCCCATTAAAATTAGGTCGTCTCGATGATAACTATGTGATCCGGTTTATGAAGGAAATGCTAGTGTCTATGCCTTGTAAAAACCAAGGATATATTTTGGATGGCTTTCCAAAAACCTATGACCTGGCAAAAGATCTTTTTAACGGTAAGTATTTGTATTCTGCTCTGCTAGATGTTAATGTACAGTACAGTGCATTGCATTACAGCTACTTTCCTGAGGCCAGTTTCACCATAACAGATTTCTCATGCTTCATAGATTATGCTGAAGTAAAGTATTTAGCTTATAGCACCTATGTTCCACTGACAACCAGCATTACTGTTGGGTAGCTAACATGCCCAGAATGTGGTAAGTGGTAAGAAAGACTACTGCTGAGAAAATCTGGAAGACCGGCATGGGCAGTCTGTTCTGCACAAAGGGCAACACTGGACAGCTTTACACCATTTTCCAGTTGAAAATATCAGCATGCGCTTACTACAACTTATGCTTACTCTCTATGCATAAGTATATTTGTAAACGTCTGTATATGTACGCTTCTCCATACTGAATAAACAGTAGTTTCATGAGGCTGATGAAATAGGGAGAAATTTGTGTTTCTGATCTCAGCTCATATCCCTCCCACTGCAGCTGCAGGAGATGTAATCATGGATATCTGTCAACTTGCCTAATATAGATCTTGGAAACAGCTTGCTCTGAGCAAAGAATTTCAGGGTGCTGAGATCAATACAGGAAAGCTCTGTTCCACCTCCATGCAGATTTAAACATTATAAAACTGATCTCTTCATCTTACTTGATGGGGAAAGATGTTACCTGAAATTCAAAGAGATTAACTTTTCAGTTAGAGCTGGGCAACCATTGTAGTCCCCCCCCCCCCCCACTTCAGCAGCACTTCAGGATTACATAGCCACTTTTGGTGGCAAAATGTTGAATTTCATTAGTACTTAGCATCCATTTGGGGGATTTTATTTTTTTTAGGGAGAAGAATGGGAATAGTTTGTGTTTAGGAATCTTTTCCCTGCCATCCATATTTTTAAGGCCTGTAAAAAAATGGGCTAACAGCATTTTAATCAATGTATAGACATATCAAGAACCATACAAGTGTCCTATAGGAGCATTTTACTATGTAATATTTAGGAACTATGGCATTCTAAAAGGAAAATGGAGTACCTCCCAGGAATATAGAAATTGGTCTTGTCTAGCTTAGGAAATAGTGGGTTTCCATTCTACTCTTTTACATGTCTGGCTTAGGAAATAGTGAATTTCCATCCTATTCCTTTATGTAATGGTCAGTTACATAAGGATTCAGGAGATGGTTTTACAGTTACTTGCCAACTCTTTAGTTATATGTGAAAAGTACTGCCTCCTTGCCAGTTCACAAAAGGAAAACGGGAATGGAAAGGAAAGGAAAGGAAAGGAAAGGAAAGGAAAGGAAAGGAAAGGAAAGGA